CAGCAGCATGGTGTTTTTGATTTTGTTTTTTGCACACCAGCCGTAGTTTGCTAACTCCTGCTCTAGACTCAAGAAAGTGATGAGGGAAGTATTAATAATGTAAGTTAAACTTTAAAGATTTTGTGTCTGTAGCCATTACACTGTGAATAGCATAAAAACAGGAGGAAATATTTTTCCACTACTCAATTCTATTATCTGAATCAGCTAAAGAGTCATTGGCATCATTATTGAATGAGTTAAGTTCCAACAGATGTCTCCCCTGCTTCATATTCATTAGTGTCAACGAAATATTAGCCAACATTTGTGTGTTAGCTACATTCATTCATCAGTTGCACCATAGGATGCTTATGGTTATAAGAGGTCAGTAAAAATCAATGAAAGCATTCTGTAAGAATCAATTGGCTATATGGAATTTACAGTAAAAATTATGGTATATTTTCTTACATTTGCAAATGATCGTGTCACATATCCTTTCTATCAGTAAAACTTTTAATTAATGCATGCGCATAAGAAGAACCCTTTTGGTTTTCTGGAAAGTTGGTTAATACACATGGATCAACATGCCATGGCTCACGTTTCTGGTTTAGGTGACAAGGTAGGTGGGGGCGGGAAGAAACAGAAGAAATAGTTTTGCAAAGAAAATCCAGTTCAGTTTTAGACATATTCTCCAACTATAATATGTTCCTTTCAAAAGGTTAAAAGTAGAGCCATTACCCATTAAACAGCAGATTCAACTCTTTTAAATGAAGAATTTTTTTTAAAGAATTTATTATAATTTTATTATAAATTTTAAAGAATTTATTATAATTCTCAGAAACCTACTTAGAGAGATGTTGTGGACCAAGATTACAAATACAAAGAGCAAGGTATTTAGGTCTCTTTTTTCTCACATAGATAGCTATCTGTTCAAGCAATGTTTAACTAAATTGTGGCTTTCTTTCCTAATTTTCTTCACTTTGTGGGCAAAAAAAGGCACACATATTAAACCTGACAAGCTCAGCGGAGGCCATCCTGGCGGGCCCTACGAACTCAGAGACCAAAAGTAACCACACAGGAGGGGCTGAACATACAAATTCCTAACGAAAAGCAGGGCATGGCGGGCAGTCACGTCCTAGGCCCCTAGCTTCCTGACAAAGGTCAGTGTTTACCTGAAGTGAGCCTGTCTAAGGTCTTTTCGCATCTAAGATCACAAACTCTTGGAATGTCAGCATAATCCCTTTTTTCCAGAACCCTGAGGGCACAACCAGGGCAGCGGAGCAGGAGACCACAGAACCCCCATTGTTATCCTGTTCCCCAATACCACCTCTCTGTGCTGTAAATGTGAATTATTAACTTTCCTGTACCCACCAATGTAAAAGCGGTGTGTCTCTCCCTGTTTTACTTTTTACTCAATCCCAGAGATCTCCCCGCTTTCCTTCCTCCCGCCCTCTTAACGTACCACCCATAGATTTCCTGTAACCTTCCTTACGTCTTCTTCTCCTTCTAACGTTATAAAATAAAGTAAAATAAAAAGCAGAAGTGTCATTCCCCGGAGTATTTTCTCAATTCGTTGAGATTTTGCTCCCTGGCAGTTGTCATCAGTTTGGCTCAAATAAACCCACAAAAATTCTCTACGAGGTTGGGCGTATCTAACGCCGACAACTTTTAGAGCAAAAGACTTTGGGTCCCAGCCAAAGACTCACCAATGCGTAAGGTGCTTTTGCTGCTTACTGTTTTGTAGCTCTCTACTGGCTTTTTATGCAATCGTTACTGGTATTCGTGACCTTATTTTGTAGTGGTGTCTTTACCATTGACAAAGACAGTATCCAATCATATTTAGAGCAGTTAACTTGTACCAGGTACTGGACTAAGTCCCTTAACTGTAATATTTAATCTTCACAACGAGCTAAAGAAATAGGTGCCATCTTCATTTCTGCTTTGTGACAAGGAAACAAAGGAATAGAATGTTAAATAAATTCGCCAAGCATCGCATGACTAGCGAGAGGCTGAGCCAAATTTAGTTTAGACCTTGGCATTTGGGGTCTTCATCAGGAAAGTACTTTGACTCTCAGATCAGATTTCCAGTTAGAATCTCCAGATTTGACTTTGTGGGGGTCCAAACAATAACTTTCCTTCCACCTTCGAAATTATTCTAGCTGGACTAATAATCGAATTAATATGAGACAGATTAACAGGAGAAAATATCCAAACTTTATTATGGATGTACATGCAGGGGTGTCATAAGAATATGAGATCCGCAGAGGCATTGGGCAGCTGAGGTTTATATGCCATTCTGGGCAAAGGAGAAGAGGGGCAGGAGTCTGGAATTTCGAAGAAAAAGCAGGTAATTCACAGGTAAGTGAGAAAGAGCAAATATATGGTACATAAATTCTTGCTGGGCCACCAAGAAACAATGGTACGTAGGGGGAAGTTCAACAAACAGGCTTTGCTAGATATCTCTCTGTCGCCACATTTAGTCTATATTATGGTGCTCCCTTCCTTGAAGCAGGTTTTTGTATCTGAATTCCTTTAGGCAGGTAAGGGAGAGGGTCAAAGGTTCTTTCTGAGTCTTTGGTTTCTTAATAACCAGCCTAAAATCAACATCCCAAAAGACATATTTTGGAGTGGCAAAAGTTTGGTCCTCCTCACTTTCAATCTGAGGTTTAACAATCTGGGGATTGCCAGGCATAAGTGGGGACCATCCTCTTTCTTCTCATCGTTACCCCATCCATCACCACAAGCACTTCCTACCTATAAGGATCCAAGCAGCCTTCTTGAACCTTTTCCTCTGCCAGTCGTGCAGGGTGGTCTCAGGGAGATTCCTGCACTGTGTCCTGTGTCCTGGGACAGACCCCTGTCCTGCCAAGGAAACTTGGGAGGTTTGTGTGACTGGCGCAGAAAACAGCCTCAGGAAAACAGCCACAGCAGGAACCTGCATCTATTCTCTACATTAATAAGACAAGCTACAGTGCTGAGTTTCCCAAGGTGCGTTCTGCAGAACGAGAAATGTCGATGAGGAAAACGCGTTCGGACATCACTTAGGTTTGAAATGCTCTGGGTTAAGTAAAGTTAATGATAAAGTTACATGCATTTTAATGCATGCCGAACATCTCAGAGGCTTGAATGGGCCAGTGTGGTTGGTGACTCTCACCGGAGGTAGAGTATGCAGCATTTCTCTGTATACTCGATCTCAGAATCTTCTTCTGTGCACATCTATCTTTTATGACTATCATTCTCAGGAAGACACTTTGACAGACAGTGCCCCAGCGTAACCCCAACAGGGACGAAAAGTGGCTTCTTCCATTGGTCTGGGCACATTTCTCTTCTTTAAGGCAAAACCGTTTATTCTGATATTTTAGCACTGTAGGGGAGGAGAAAAAATCTTTTCCTCTATCCATCTTAGTTTCTTCAGCCCTGTCAATTAGATTGGTTAAAGGCAGATTAAGGAGAGAAAACAAACAGAAGTTTATTAACATATGCATCATGCATATACATGGGAGCGCCCAGAGATGAGTAATCCAATGGGTGTTTGTCTCTTGGGCTTATCAAAATCATGGGCTCCGGGGCAGGGAAACAAGCTAGGCAATAAGAAAAAGAATAGCAAACAAGGATTGGTCAGTAACATTGACCGTGGTATCTTCTACGTTGGTTAAGAGTCTTTCTCTTCCTGGTACAGGAAAAAGCGAGGACTCTCCAAATATAAATTTCCTTTACTAAAGGAAAACTCGTGCCCTGTTTTTAAAGCTTTTCACGTATCTGCTGGTTCTCAAAATAATCCATATGCCAAAGAGGCAAATTTTACTGTGGTGGATTCTGGGGTCCTTCAGCACTTTTCAGCTTCAGAACCTGGACTGCTTTAAACCAGCCATTTTCACCATGTGGTCAAGCTGTGTGAGGTCCTGAGCTGGAGCTTGAACTGGCCTCCTCCATGGTCTGGAATTGTTCTTTCTATGCATTTCTCGATTACATTCTAAGAAAGGAATTTTCCCATGTTAAGTAAGTCAGGGTCTGTTAATTTGTGATAGATGGTAAGAGACTCTACAGGCTCAGTCACACAGATACGATTGCTACCTGCTAGATAAAGCTATTGAATCACTTGGAAATTCCTAGGGACGTAAGTTAGGCCAACGGACACCACCATGTTACCACGCATGCTGGGGAGAGTTTTATGGAAACTCTCAGGAATTTGTCCTGGGAAAAAAACAAAAGAACCATTTTCTATCTCCCATTAAGCAAAACTAACAATGGAAATATTTCCTTTTATCCAAAGAACGTCCCATGTAGCACCATAGACGATGAGTACGGCAATATTGTCAGCTTTGGGAAGTGAGGGAGAGAGAAATGATAGAAATTAGGGGGGTGGAAAAGACTTCTGTGGTCCCTATGAAAGGCGCTGGTATTTGGAATCCTAGGATATTGGTTTTAAAGGTCATTTGATGCAACGTTTCATCTGCAGATGAGGAAACTGAGCCGCAGAGAAGGAACTTGTACGAGGACACCTGGTTCATTTGGCAGAGCCAGAGGGAGAAAAGCTGCCACATTTCCAGCTCATCTGTCCATGAAGCTCTGGGATCTGGAGGCAGCCTTCAGCGGCATTCTGCTTTGCAAGTGTGGGTCAGGCCCAGACCCACCGGTCGGCCAGAACTGCTTCTACTTATACTAACAGTCTTTCTCTCCCGAGGTTTGAGAGCCAGTTTCTATGGCATTTGCTGACCCTGGCTGCTCACCTTCCTTCAAGCCTTTGGCAATGCAGTGTAAAGGCATCAGAATCGCTTCGCCACAGGAAATGCTCCATTTTGCAATCCTTTTCTAAACTGAGTTAATAGCTAAGCTCCTGTGGGACATAGAACCACTGAAATCCTATTATTTTGTGATCAGAAATGGCCCTAGTCCTACTTTTTCATTTCCTTTGAAGCAGCCAACATGCTTTTTTCTTTTCTTTTCTTCATTTTTATATAATATAACATATAGGAATTGTTTTATGTTGGAGATATCTTTTACTGGCAAGAAGAGATATTTTAGATAAAAAAAAAACATTTGCAGCTCTTTAAAAAGCAAGCGATATTTGAATGAGAACTTACATGCCTAGTTGCAAACTACCTAAAATAGATGAGATAAAATGACATAATGGCGAGAGTTTGTAACAGTTCAGTAATGATCTGTTGAACTTCATGCATCAGATTAGCCAATCGATCACTATGAAACCATACCCCCAAAACCCAGAAAATTAGTTTATGTGACTTATTGCTTGAGTAGCTACTATGCAAAGCAAAGCCATACATCATCAAAATGAAGATCATTTTAATAAATCAGCTTTTAAAAAAAATTGAGATATGGTTCCAAATGATAAAATTTATGCATTTAAGTTTGATGACTTTGGACAAATATCTACACTCGTGTAACCATCATAACCACCACGGTCAAAACACAGGACATTTTCATCAGGCAAATGGTTCTCTCTTGTCCATCTAAGAGTAAGTTGCAGATATGACGACCTTTTATTCCTTAAATATTTGTTCATATTTCCTAAAAACATGAATTCTCTTGTATGACCACAGGACAGTGATCAAAATCAGGCAGTTAACACTGAAACAATGCTATTATCTAATCTACAGACCTTATTAAGATTTGTCAATTGTCCCAACAATGTCTTTCAAATTTAGTTTTATTATTAGTGTCAAGTATACAGTACATTGGTTAGACATTTATATAGTTTATGGCACCATCCCCCTGAATACTCTAGCTTCCCTCTGGCTCTACACATACCCACAACAATGTCTTTTATAGCAAAAACAATCCAAAATTTAAATTCGATCATCTTGTCATTTCAGTCTCTGATCTGGAACACTTTTCCGAGTCTTTCTTCCTCACAACACTGATATTTGTGAAGAATACAGACCGGTTATTTTGTACACTATCCCTTTTGTAGACTATTCGGGTTTGCTGGCCATTTCCTCGTGACGAGATTCAGGTGATGCATTTTTGGCTGGAATACCACAGGAGTGAGGCAGAGGTACACTCGGAACATCCCATCAGGAGACTGTTGATTCTTCCCATGGCTGCACGGTTATCTTTGGCCATTTGGTTAAGGGGATGTCTGCTGGGTTTTACCACTGTAAAAGTTACTATTTCCCCCTTTGTAACTAAAAGGTATTTCGGGGAACTACTCCTGAGATCTACCATATTATTCAGCATCTACACTCATGAGCATTCTTCTCTGAAGACGGTAAAATCTCAATTGGCCAGAGTGAATGAGGTAGAAGCTGTCCTTTGCTAAACTGTTGGTTTGCTCCCTACCACCTGGCGAAATGAAAAACTGATGTTTTTGCAACAGGAATCTGTTTCTCCGAAGGGTTTCTCTAAGATTCACATGAGGTTCTGAATACTGCTGTTCAATCTTGGTATCACTGCAGTCGGCCATTACTGTAGATGTGTTGATACCTCAGTCTTCAAGGGTTAATGGAACCGTGATAATTCACCTGTGCTTAGAAAGTCAGGACAACTTACATGTTTTTGTAAGAGTTTCAACAATAATGTTAAAAGGCTAAACAAAATTATTTCTCATTTCCTAGTTAAACTTAAATAAAAAAGCTTTCTGATTAATTGAGTTTCCCTAGCACATAAAGAAACCCTGTTCCACTTTTTACAAAGATATTCTTCATACAAATATGATTTTAATTCCATAGTTACTATTTTAATGCTTTTCCACATACATGTGAGATTGTATTAATGAACCATTAGATTTTTACAGTGATTTCCCTTGTCGTTTAACCTTCTAGGTCAACTGTTTTTAAACGAACATTCCTGGCCTCAAATCATGTGGTAATTAATGGGCAGAAATTGTGTTCATTCTCTCAAATCATCTTCTAGAATATTTATTTATTTTGTTGTTTCTTTAAAAGAAGTGTGGGAAAATGTGCTACACGCATTTCTCAAAGCTAGGCTGTTACCACTTAAAAAAAACCAAAACGACCCGATTCTAAACGCTTACTCACCACTGGGAAGCTTTTACAGCTTTACGTCTAGTTTCAGATGCCTTCATGTTGAATTTTGTTAAATAAGAAATGAAGACTTGAGAGGAGATACATCAGAGCATGAAGTAGACCGAGTCTGTAGCTCCCTGTTCATTTACATCCACTGCAGACTGGTGGAAGCAGAGGCAAGGCCCTCTCTTTTCTTTCTCAAATAAAATCAAGTGAAGAAAGAGAAGCAACCGTGACTTGGGGTGGGGGAGGAGTTGTGTCTGGATGCTGATTGGGCATTCGCATCTGTAATGTCCTTCGCGACTCCAACTTTGGCTATGAACTACTCTTTAGTTGGCCCTCACGACCACGAAGCATTGACCAACCAACCCATTGTACCATGGCTGTGCTATTGTCCCCACTAAACTGGGGACTCTTTCTCATTTGTTTTTAGGGTACCTAGAAAACTTCCTGAGACATGTCAGGCAGTTGAATGGACAATTGAGTGCTTCAGAGGTTTGATGAATATCAGATACTATTTTGTAGGTGGGAAGAGACTTAAAAATAATCTAGCACAATGCAACTTTTTATTAAAGAGAGAAGTGACTATGAGTAGTTAAATGACTTCCTATCTATTTAGTTGATACAACAGGACATAGAATTTATCTAGTGGTTTTTCCAATATATGTAAATAAATTTGATTCTTCCAGGATTGGACAAAAGCAAAATAAAGTTTCCCTTCTGTTCTTTACTTAATGTTGATACAGCTGAGGTCCCTGGAAGAATTCACCTTTTGAGAATAACGGCCTTGAAGTTCAGACTCAATGGCTTGTGACAGATAACCTCTGTCAACCTCCATGTCAAAGCGATGTTTCCCAGGGAAATAATCAGGAACCTGCTCCTTTTAATGACATTTTCCATTTTAGAATCAAGTGCTTAAATAAATCTAAGGTCATATCAATTCTGAATCTTTGTTCCTAATAGTCCCACCACTTGGAATGTATTCTTGTACCTACTGAAATTTTTTCAAGACATGGGTAGATCTGGAAATTAAAAAATGTTGAGTAAATAAGAAAGCTGCAGAAAATGAGTAGAGTATGAAAACAGTCGTGTAAATCTTATTCTCTACTTTTTAGTTACATATAGTAAAATTTACCTTTTTCCGGTTTACAGTTCTTTGAGTTTTGACAAATGCATAGTTATGTTACTGCCACCACAATCAAGATACAGAACGGTTTCATCACACACATGCAAGTTACCTCGTGGAACCTCTTGATAGTTAAACCTCATCTTGTTCCCCAGACCTCTCCACTCCCTGGCCACCACTGATCTATAATGTCACTACAGGCTTCTCCAGTATGTTATGTAAATGAATCATATGCAAGGTAAGCTTTCGAGACTGGCTTTTTCACCCAACCTAACGCCTGGAGACTTGTTTAAGTTGCTGTGTGTAGCAATGGTTCTTTATTAATTGATGAGTTTTATTCCATTTTGTGGATAGGGCTCAGTTTGTTTATCTAATTCCAAGTTAGAGACATTCAAGTTATTTTACATTTTTGACCATTACAAATAATGCTGCTATAAACTTTTGCGTACAAGTTTTTGTGTGAACGTAGATTTTTATTTCACCTAAGTAAAAATGTAGAAGAGAGTTTGCTGGGTTGTATGGTTAGTACATGTTTAACACTCTAAGAAACTGCCAAGCAGCTTTCCATAGTTTGTAAAAATGTTCAGGCAACCCATGGGAAGGCAGGCAGGCAGAGAGAGAGAGAGAGAGAGAGAGAGAGAGAGAGAGAGAGAGAGAGATAGAGATTGAGAA